AGTGTACCTCTGGTGCAAATTACTGACCTCTGTCATCATTTTAAGTGGGGGAACTTGCACAATCGGTGGCTGACTAAATACTTTTTTGCCCCACTGTATATATATATAGTGTGTTGCCTATGCTGGTTGTCACTCCATCTGCATTTCATGGTATTGTCTTCATTCGTCCTGCGTCTCTCTGGTCTTCATCTTGCTTTGTTATTATTTCAGGTCTCCTTATTAGTTTTCCCAGTTTAGGTTTTAAGTAGTTCTCTCATGCCTCATTTCCTGTTTTCCATTTTCAGATCCTTGAATGGGAGAGAAGTTAACGGAATTGAGGACTATCAGGGCAACCACACCGGAAATTTCTAAAAACTATGCAGCATACTGAAGACAAGTGTTTCAGGGTTAGTGTTGCACAGAGAATCCACTTTACTGTCAGTTTCACTGTGATTTTGCCAACTTCTAAAGTAATAGATATCTGTTGTGCTTGGTATTAGGTCCCCTTGATGTTGGAGTCCTTTTAAAAACAAACACTAAGATGTTTTTTAACTTAAGGCTTGCCAGTGCTTAAATAGCCTGATAACCAAGAATGGTGAGTTGAAAGGGGAGCTGTATGCATGCTGTATGCATCCGATGGAGAAGAAACAGTTTCTACATGCAAAATCTTTGCTGGAAAATATGAGTTCAGTTTTCCAGCAGAGTTATTAAAGGGTCCAACACTGCCTGCCTCCCTTCAATATACTCAGGGTGTTTCTCTGTTATCTGGATTCACTTACCCTAACATCTGCAACATAAAAAAAGTGATCACAAAGCTAGTTAACAACTTGTTGAGTAAATCCAGGGTTTCCCCTGCACGTTACCATGTAAGGAGTGGCATTGGCAGCATCTGACCAATCACAAACATGAAAGAGTGTAGTGGCAGCAGAGCGGTTGATTTTTCAAAGGAAGATAAAACTATACTACCGGAAAAATGTGAAGAGATTAAACTCACAATACAGGCGGAAAACAATAAAGCTGCTGCAGACAAAGTAGTGACATGAGCGTGTGTGTGAAAGGAAAAGGGCTCTACAGCAGTTTAGTAACAAAAGAGGTGTGTGAATTTCTGAGGAGTCTAAGGACTTTGGTCAGCGAGACTGGAAATATATGGATAGCCAGGAAAGCAAGCTGGCAAAAATGCTGTTTAAGTTAGCAGACTTAATATCACTGCTCTGTGTTTAAGGCACAGGGCAATTAAAAGGATTATTATAAAGTATTTTATTAAATCAATCTTTAAGAGACAGTTTTATCTGTTGAGCTGTGTAATGATCTGAAAACAAAATTGCTTGCAGGAGGTCAGAGGGATCTTCCAGGAATGGTGACACTATTTTCCAAAGAACTAAATGGTCAGTGGGCGGTGATTTTATACCTGCTGATCTCTAATTTCAGTATCAAATTTGGAACAACATTCAGTGCTTGGAGTGCTTCACACTAGATGGCTCCATCTAGTGTGAAGAATCAGGAAAAACAGAGGATGTTGCTGAACCAGAATGCTAACGATGTGGATCAGCACATCAAAGAGAAGCTCGATCTGAAACAAAACAATCTCCCATTACTGCAATATTCAGGCTTTCCATACACAAAGGATACTGCACACATCAACGAGAGTATTGTCCACAGAAAAGGTAATGGTAATAAAGTTAATCTCATGACTTCAGCAGTTGGACATTTTCAGTGCTACTTGTCTGACTGTACAAAGTTGTATTATTCTGCTATCCCTGCAAATGGTGGAACTTCTGTACATAACTAGCTGCTATACCAAAGCTACCTGGCTAAATTTATTGACTTTTCCTGTTTGATTTTATACCCTTTTCCACTTTGTTATATGTGTTTCACTATTAATGTTGCATTAAGGTATTTTTCAAATGTTCAAATGGTTCTGAATCACATGTTAATATATATATCCTACCGCAGGAATTAAGTTCACTGATTTTCAGTCCAATTCTTGTGTTTGGCATACCTCAGCCTTTACTCACTGTTTCCCTTCCTTAAAATTGACTCCTTGAACTTTGAAACAAAGGACATTGATGATAAGGATTTTAGCTAAAATAGATAGGCCTTTGCTGGATTTTTTTAAGGCTACACTCTACACCATCCCCTCTGCGAATAGCTACCTTATAGTAGTGGAGGGGTTTCTGTGTCCCAGGGATCCCAGGGGCTGTGTTGTCCGGGTTGCTTTGGGACCCCGGCAGGGTCTCTCATGGCGAATTTGTCCTGGGTGAGGAACCAGACAAAGGTTCAGAAGACCCCTATGAATACAATATTAAGGGAACAGTTCACCCTGCCCTGGATTGTGTTATCGGGGCTCTGCCCTGGAGCCAGGCCCAGGGAGGGTGGCCGAGGGCGAGTGTCTGGTCCTTGGGACCCGGCCGGGCACAGCCTGAAAAAGGGACATGGGCCCATCCTCCTGCAGGCATACCACCTACAGGAGGCGCCATAGGGGTCAGGTGCAATGTGTACCGGGCGGCGGCATTCTTTACTTTGTACATTCATCAATGAATGACCGCACACCATTGTGAGAGCGAGAGAAAAATGAACTAGCAATACAACAAAAATCATCAATAAACCAGGGCAGATAATGGTTTGAGCATGAGCTTTCTTTCATTAGTGGCAGTTTGCAGATTGATAAAGAAGTGAAACCATATTCTCAAAATCCAAACAATGAATTAGTTTAATGCAAACAATGTTAAGGCTTTACTGAATCTTTTAGCAAATTTTATTAACCTTAAGAAACATAAAATAAATGAAAACATAAAACAAAACATTAAAAGATAAATAGGCACGACCCTTTGGAAACATCCCATCAAATCAATAAAAATATAAAACTGGTCCATTAGATTAGTTGGTTTTTATTTTGTTTGTTTTATGTCATAACATGAAAAGTCAAAAATTTATTGTAAATGAAGGATTATAACAGAATTGACAGAACATCTAAATCTAAACTTATCACTACTGTATCTTAAACACTAAAAGCTTTTTTTAAAGTTAAAAAAGAGATGGTGAGATATTCTGAACGTACTATTAGTACATTTTGAATAACTTATCATTAGTACTCTATATCTTAAACTTAGCAGTAACTATGTAGGTAGGAAGGAAAAGAAATGTGTGGCCGATGGATTTGCCACTTAAAGACTCTCTAATGGAGACTGCCCTTGAGTGAGTGAGAAATACTCCATCTGTGGTGTAAATGAAGACCTGTTCCACCACCCCGACACCATACCCAGTACATACAATATTAACATTAACAATTTTTGGTAGAAAACAATAAGGGAAGCGCACGGTGGGGCGGGACCCATCGGTGTCACTCTGGACTCTGTAGTACCCGCTCCAGAATCTTTGGCGTTCCTGCTGCAGTAACAAAAAGGAACAAACAGGTTAAAAATGCTCCAGTCATTAGAGATCAGACGACAAACATTTAAAGCTGAAGTGAATACATGTTTTTTTTTTTTTTCTTGAAATATTCACCACTGATGCTTACACCATTGTGATTACTCACCTCTTCCTGGTCAGCCTCCTCTCTTCCAGGGTTGTAAAAAGAGGTAGAAGACTGAGGGTTGGACCACATCATCTTCGTTTATCTGAAAATGCCAGTTTTAGGAACAAGTGGGTTTTTTTTTTATCACTCACATCTTGTATTTGTAGAATTTAGAAAATGTTTAAACATGTACTTCTCTGTGAGCATACAATATACGTTCTATTCACCTCCTGATGAGCACCCACCTGTCGTCTACACAGAAGGCCAGAGCTGAAGGGCTGAGGGCTGGAACTCCTCACTCGCCGACCAGGGGGTAGCTGTGAGATATCACTTAATGTTAAGCACCAAAAATGCTAACTATTATTCTTACGTTAGCAGTTTCTTTTATTTTTTCAAAAATACTACAGATAACTTCAACAGAAGTCAGTTCTGTATGCACACTGGGGATGGTAATTAGTGTGTGAATATTGAAATAGTCATCAAACTGCAAAAAAATATACCTTTATGTGACCAACATGAATTCAAATATACTGTGCTGCTACATGCTGCCAGGGCCAGAAGGTGGCAGTAATGTGCATATAGAGACTGTTTAAGGCACTAATGACTGCGGGTATGATGTGTGTGCAGCACAGTGAGATCAGACAACAAACATTTAAAGCTAAAGTGAATACAGTGAATACATAACAGTATTTTTTTTTCTTGAAATATTCACCACTGATGCTTACAGGATTGTGATTACTCACCTCTTCCTGGTCAGCCTCCTTTCTCCCACGCTTGAAGGCAGAGGTGGAGGGCTGAGGGCTGGATCTCCTCGCTCTCCAGTCACGGTTCAAGTGTAAACCAGAGGTGGAGGGATGGGGGCTGGATCTCCTTGCTCTCCAGTCACGGTTCAAGTGTAAACCAGAGGTGGAGGGCTGGGGGCTTGACCTCCTCACTGGCTGGGCAGTGTTTACCTGTTAGAGATGGAGTAATGTGTGTCAAAACTCTTGGCTTGTCTACAATGCCAGTTTGTATTTTTTTCACCACTCAGTTCTTGTTTTGTAGGATTTAGAAGATGTTAGAACGTACTTCTCTGTGAGCATATACTTTCTATTCACCTCCTGATGAGCACCCACCTGTCGTCCAAACAGGAAGCCAGAGCTGGAGGGCTGAGGGCTGGATCTCCTCACTCGTCGACCAGGGGGTAGCTGTGAGATATCACTTGATGTTAAGCACCTAAGATACTGACTATTATTCTTACATTAGCAGTTTCTTTTATTTTTTCAAAAAGATAACTTCAACAGAAGTCAGTTCTGTATGCACACTGGGGGTGGTAATT